TGTCGCGGCATTGTGGTGGTTGTGGAGAGAGTCGCGTCAGTTTGGGTGGGGCGTTCAGCTTACTGATCTTTCCAGCTTACTGATCCCGCACGTTAAATGTTGGGTCTTACATAAGCACTACCCTACCCAACTCTTAGTAACCTAACCACTACCTCTACCTCTATATTATGCTAAGAGGTGGGTAGGTGTAGAAGTTAGGTTGCTAAGAGTGAGATAGAGGTAGAGGTAGAGGTTGATTATTCTCTAATTAAACACGTTTACTGTAGCTTATTAACATGGTTTTATACTCTCTACCTCCGTCCATACGACCCAACCCAACCCGGACCTTACCTCTGGGTAGACCCTACCCATTTACCAGCGTAGAACAGAGATCAACTGACATGATACAGAATGTGCACCTGGACCCGGTGCTGCTATCAGCAGGTCTTTCCGAGACCAATGAGAATTGGCACCTTGTTGCAGCAGACACTTGACTGTCTCGATATAGTAGCCATGCTTTATTGCTGCAACGAGTGCGGTATTTCCCAGTCCTCTGAAGAAGTCTACTAGTCCATGCCTTGAACTAGCAGCTAAGAGATGCTTGACAATTTTGGTGTTTCCTCACTGGACTGCATTATGCAAGACCCACAGGAGGGGGGTGGGGGAGCTGCGGACGCTCAAGAGCCAAGACGATTTTAGATAGTAGTAGTTGGTTGGTGACGGGCTACGTATTAGTAGGCTGGTGACCAAAGTCTTGGCGGCTGCATCCAAAATCAAAGTAGGCAAACATTTCTACTACTACTACTACTGTATAAGAAGCATGAAATACCGTGCTGGAATGGCTGTGCAGATTTGTGTCACCTCCAAAAAAAATCAGGCTGGTTGTTTGGGCTTGCGAGCAAAAATGGAGATCTACCGAAGATGGTATGATTGGAGTAATAGATAAATCTCAAAGGCTTGTTTACATTCGTGAACGAGAAATGTTGAATTCTCGGTTGTAGAGACCTGTCACTCTACAGTACGTTACGAAAGGGGCTTGCTAATAAGCCAGAATCGCCAGTCGATCTGGAGCATCTAAAGTCTCTGCTACGACAGATGAGATACATGCGCATGCTGCACTTCTTACAACTTGAGCAGTCTCCACTAAGGCGCCGGAGCCTTGCCGAGGTCGGCGGACTGGAGGGTCTGACCATCGACGAGCTTCAAATACCACCATGTCCCAAGAGACCCGACAGTGCCCTTCCAGATTTGGAGATTGACATTATCAATAGTCTTTTCACCCTCAGTGACAAGCATCATTTTGTTATCTTTCTATGAAACGATCAGCAACGAAGTTATTAAAAAAAAAAGTCATGACTGATACCGCTCTTGGAAGCGATATGGGGAAACGTACAGCTGCCACGATCCTATAGTTTTTGTTAGTACGTTAAAAAGATTCTATTTAGAGGAGAGATGAAGAATGCGATTACTAACCAGAATGCGCCTGTGCCATTCCGTGTGGGAGCGATGTTCCAGCGGCAACGGTAGTGGGTCGGCGAGTTACGAGTCACCGTCAACGGCGCCTGTTTAGCTTCCTCTACTCTTAAGTTAACCTCGGGTCCAGATACAGCTTCTAGATGTAGAGGATGTTACCGGCATAAGTCAGATGGTACCCGGTGTTACAATTGATGATGAGAAATTCTTCTTTCCCCGAAACCCCAGTGCCAACATGGACGAATTGCCAATGGTCGTTCTTATTGGCGTCGCTGGCCCTGTTCGGAATCAGTTGAGTCGCAGAATTTGGTTTCTTAGAGATGCTGGCTGACGAACTTTAGGACGACTGCTGCACCATCATCTTTGTTACCGTCTTTCACAGTAACCGCAGTCTTACGGTCTTTGTGGCTTTCAATGCGGTAGACGTTTGGTCCAATCCAGTCAGACATAACTGCGGTAGTTGCGATGGGAAGTGTTGGTGTTGGTGGTGGAGAGATGTTCGAATGATGAGTTGATCGGAAGTTGTACTTTAGAACCAGACTTTATATAATCCTTTTATGTTACACACATCATCGGCACACGCACATAAGCCAAGGCTTTATGATGCCATATAAGTCGAGACGTACATTTCTGTCACACCGGAAGTGGTGTACTTCACTGCAATCTAGTACCTTAGCTCCAACATTAGCCTCTTGCATATATTTGCCTGCAGGTAGACTAGTGAGCGTCGCGTTCAACAACGTATGATCGTACGCAAGGTGCAACAGCAATAGTTGAAGATCCGTACCCAAGTAGTCGTGACGGATAGATGAGCCGTCAACATAAGTATGGGTGATTTCGTCTTCTACTCTGGTGAAGATTGTGGCACTCGAGAGTAGCTGCACCGTCCACACAGAAACAACATATCCCTTAGTGCTTGCTCTACATGTCGGTCATCGGCGCAGTGAGAAGAGAGGATGTGGGATTAACGGACTGTACGGGTCGATTGGACTGAGGTTTCACCGATAAACGGCACGCCACTCTGGCCTGCAGCTGTTGAGAGAGAAAAGGCATTGGTGCAGCTGTGATGCTTCAAGTACATGATTGTGATCGTTATGGTCAAACGGCCGGCAATGGCTCGGTCCGGAACGTGTTCCCACCTGAGCGTCGAGCAGATCGCAATATTATACGCACTCTAGCATGCGAGGGACAAACCGCGTAAGAAGGCGCAAATGTACGTCGCTAAGACGAGCCAAGATGGGTTATCAACCATGGAAAGGGACTATAGGGCCAAAGCTAGGTGAGAGGTACAGCATAAGATTGTTGACGCCGTCCTTGAGACGGAAAGCGTTGGCCAACTGGTCACTGTCTTCCTCGTTCCTGGCGACGAAGCTATGCGTGTCTTACTACTAGAGGTGAAGCAGACTGCAAGGATGGCGATCGAAGGCGACAGTAAATTGACACTCACCCAGTCCAGGTCATACTGGCCCCCCCAGAAAAGAGCGGTGAGAAGCCATGGAAAAAGAGCACCTGGGTGTGTCCATACATGAAGGAAAAAACAAGTGAAGGAGTATGGGAGATGTCAATAACGTGACTGCTAAAGTGGGGACAGGTGTCGGACAGATGGGGCACATGTGGCTTGGCAAGCAACTCGCTGGTACACATACAGGGCACATCTTGCAGGATATGTGCTCTAAGGTCGTCTCGCTGTATTCCTTAGGTCACGCCTCGACGTTGGCGGGCGACATGATGCCGACGAGCAGCACACCTTCGTAGGGCGGGGGCCGTCTATGCTCTAGAAGCCAACACTAGAGGACACCGTTCATGCGATAGCGACTTATTGCCCCCTTGCAAGCTGTGTAGTCCTTCACCATTTGCCGATTTCGGTTTGGCAGATTGTGGCGCCCATGGCAGGCTGTAACCGCTCTTCTCAACTTGCCTGTTATTTGCAGCATCCGTGCTGTAGTTGCAGGATTTCGCTCTGCTACTGTCCGTGCTCACCCAATGCAACAATCAGCTAATGCAACACTATCTGCCCCACCCAAAATATCAACCCACCATTTTCAACACGTGATATCTCCACCAC